TTTATACTACAGTTAATGTTTATCAGTATTTGTTATTTCACTTAATATTGGTACACAATGCAATGAGCTCAGACTTATTTTTGTGTATGCGTGCGTTTATCTGTGTGTAAGTGTGTGTGTGTGTGTGCGCTTAATGGTGGTGGTGAACTGAAGGAAAGTTTAACAGAAAAGCTTTCAAGAGCTGTCGGATAGGGAGAGTAAGGCACATTTGTGTCAACACAGTGTAGGTTTTCTCATCTCTCCTCATTGTGTACTAATGACACCGAGCAGTCACACAAGCTCTTTGCCCCTGTCTTTGTTTGTTTTACAGACGGTGGATGCTAGCTTTATTGTTATGTTGAAGACAGGGAGCGAAAGTGGTGCTTTTTTGGTCCATTTGTCCTATTGCATGTCTGCTTTGTTTTATTACCAGACAAATCTACTTTGACTCTCTTTTCTGAAAGAACTTTTAGAAGAGCTTTTTCTATGGCTTGCCTTGCTTTCGGTGGTGTCTGGGACATTATGAGGCTAAAGGTATAACCAGGGTCAGGAGTTTAACCCTTTCATTACTGCATTGACTTCAAGCACACGTTTTTTTTCTTCATTCATTTCCTATTTTTTCATTTATTGTGACTACATCGTTTGCGCTTCGATCTGTCGTTACATGTGTATAAAATCAGAGATGATTTTTATTACGGTGTGCGCCTTTTTCTTTTTTATGGATAAACGAATAAAACCTTTCAGCTTCTGACTTCAGAAGTGGGAGCGCAAATAGAATGTATGGGACAGATCGTCCGGCTTAAAAAAATGAAAAAGTTCCACCGCCTGTTTCTGTACCTTATTTAGTCTCGGTTTAAATCATGTATATTGACAGCTTGGCACCAAGTAAATCAGTGAAATATTTCAACATTGTCGTTGCCAACTTGCTAGATTTTATTTTAAATTTGATTCTTCTTTTTTTTTATGTAGGGTCAGAAAGAAGTAAAAAAAAATAAAAAAAAATGAGAGTACAAAGAGGTGTGTGTGGCAGTGACAATTGTCAGATGTGGCTTTCTTTATTTGAGGTTTCATTGAAGAAAAGCAGGAGATAGAATGAGAAAGGCTGTTAGAAAGGGCCAGAGCCCTTTCCCTCCCAAGTGCCTGTGATCAGTGACTGTGTGTGTGTGTGTGCGCGTGTCTGTGTATATGGGTATCTGTAGGCTGAGAGAGGTTAGTGCAGGATGTCATTTGGTGCCTGACAGTGGAGCAGTGCAGTTGACTCTGTGCTCTTCTAGCCAGTGACATCCTTAAAGCTGCTTCTTGGGTCTCAGGCAGTTTTTTTCCCTCTTTTAGTGCTACATGCACACCTGACAGGCAGCTGTTAGGCTGAGCAAAGAGGAGCCTTGGGGAGTCACAATCCATGCATAAATGATAGGGGTATCTGTGAGGAAGGTGCAAAATAAGCTTTGCATCTCTCACCCCCCCACCATCAGCAGCACATCCCTCCTTACTACTTCAACTCCCACCCACCCTCTTCCTCATCCTCTCCTAGCCTTTTTTTACTCTCTTTCTCTAAATGAAATGCAGTCTACATGCAGCTCTGTAACTACTCCACACTTGTGCTACTGAATGCCAAGAAACTCAAAAATCCACCTTCACTTTACAGTCAGAAGAGGCAGAAGTGGATGTGAGAGAAAGAGACATACTGAGAGACAGACAGCGAGACAGGAGGGCGAGAGACCGGGCATTCAGAGACTCTTGTCCTGACAACTCCATGCAGTTCGGAAGGAGGACGCCGACAAGCGAGCCTGGGTACATGGGGGCATGGCAAAACTGTGATGCCAATCTTCTTTTCAGAATGTCCCAACAGGTGAGTGCATCCTTTTTACTTTTTCGCTTACACAAATGAAGTTGGCGTTTGAATTGACAATGACAATGTACTTTTCATTTATGTTATGACATTTTTTATTTGTCTTTCTTTGCTACTTTTTTTTTGTGAAGTGGTAATTTATCACGCTGCTTTCTCCAGTTCTGTTTTTAGCTAGCTTTGCAGGTTCTTTTTTTTTGGAATTTGTTTCCTTTTCTACTAAGCAAGAAACAGGGCTTACTTGTAAATGTAATGTTACTTCAGAGACCGGTTTACCTGCGTCTCTTTCAGTGTTGTTCGGAGAGAGGAAAGTGAAAAACCAAGTGAAATTTAGATGAAATGCAAAACAATTAGCCCGTAGCATCCTTTCTGCGAAAGTAATCAAAACTGGAATTAAAACCACATCCACTCTTTCCTCCTTCCTTTCCCTGATTTCGCAGTGATAGAAATTTGAGGGGCCCCTCTCCTAGGATCTTAATTGACTTCATGTGGTTGAACACAGCTTCCCCCAGTTCTCAGATGAGCTGAACTGCTGTGCTGTTTAAACTGCTCACGGCACAGAGCGGATGGGTGATAGCTAAGTCAGTTAAGCTGCTCTCCTTTATTTTCAGTCTTGCTTTTTTCCCCCCATTATTTTCAGTTTATTTAGCTTTTCCAGGGTTTTTTATTCTTTACCCATTTCCAAGTCAGTGTCTCTTGCATTCTTCAAGACATATACACAGGCACTTTTTTCTCCCCCTTCTTCACTCACTAACACTGCAAGCAAGACTGTGTCTTGGCGTCTTCCCTAGAGCTTTTCCTGCACTGGGGGCCGCCTTAAAGGCATCTTGGTATGCTGCTATTGACGGGAAAGCTGAAATGTTATTGCGAGACCAGTAACAACTGATAATTAATCACACAAGCCGGTGTCTCTGTACCATGCACATGGTGATACGTAGGCAGCCGGCTGCATCTTCTCTGCACCATCCTACAGTGCTTGTCTTAAAAAGAAGTTAGAAAAAATATACAGCTAACTTTATCTCTTGGGCAAGAACCAAACTTATGCTAAAGTCTATCAAAAGCATTTTACTTCTTATCTTGCCTCCTTAGTGAAGAATATAAACAGCGTAGTGGATGCCTGATTCAGAACTGCACACCTAGCATTATGTTTGTAATCCAAAAAGGACTACATTTAATACCAAATAAGCATATGTCATACAATTCATTTTACATATAAATGTATAAAATTAACTTTTTAGTAACTTTTATTTGCTATGAAAGGGCAATGTGTTATTAGGGAAACTTAGAAAAAGCAGTATCAGTCTACAACTTCTATATTGTGAGGACTCTAGTTTTGGCTAAAGCAAGCTTTTTAACAAGGCATATTTTGGTATCTCCTGTAGAGGGACCCTGATTACTGCTGATAATACTGTAAGCTGATATGAATCACTAACGAACATGGACGTGAGCTGAAACAGTAGTTCTTTAATTTGGACATAAACCGTAAAGGTAACAACACTACTGCAGCAACAACAACAACAACAACAGCATACTACATACATACGCTATCTATCTATCTATCTATCTATCTATCTATCTATCTATGTATCTGTCTTCACACTCTTTGTATGAACTCTTCATACATCTGCAGGTTCAGACCTGATCATCTAAAGTGTTTTAATTTTTACCAAATTAAAGCAGCAAACAGATGGTTAACATATAGAAAGTTCTGCAAAGACAGGTAATGTGCTTTCACAGACTTTATCATAGGCCCACTTTAATCAACAGAAAGAGTGTAATTTTGAAGAGGAGTTAACAGAATTGACTCCAAATAATGATCAATTGATAAATGGCTATTGAGCCACAAGGACAGCGTGAACGATTGCCTGTTTGGCATTAGAAACGAGATAAATAAATTTAAAAGCCTGCCGTCTCTGCAACGCTGAAAAAGAAATACCTAACGTAAACAAACATGTAAATTAGGGATTGTGGTGTGAAAGGAAGCCTTCCTAAATTTGTTCCGGTTTCAGAGATTAAAAAGCTGAGAGAATTGGGACAGCCTTTATTATGGCTTTAATAATTCGCTACTCATGTTTTGGCAGTCTACAACAATCTTGTGCATTAATCCTGGACACATGTTTAAACACTTTGAGCTTTTTTTTTCATTTAAAGCATCTCCAAATTAATACTTTTTAAAAGTAATAGTGCCATTAATGTGTTACTACATAAAAACCTAGCAAAATATATTTGTATTTAATTTTTTTTTTTTTTTTAAAGGTCACTCATTTTTTTTTTTTTCCGCCTATACAGGCACTTAATACATACTCTTTGCAATGTAGACCTGTTTTCAGTTGAGCAAACTGATGGAACCTTAACTGCTTATCTGCATTCCATCAGGTGTATCCTCCAGAATTCTGATGCCAGCTCCAGCAAATGTATTGGTTACAAAGGAATTTTTAACAGATTAGTTTGATTAATTGTTTGGGAAATACATACAGTACATAATTCACAGCTGTCATCTGCCAATACTTAAAATCTAGCAAAAGAAATATAATGCACCAAGTAACTGCTTTCCTTCAGGTGTCTGAGTAGCAAAACATCACTTTTTAATCATTCTTCATCCCGCTGCTTGTTGGGAAAATTACTTTCAAACTCTGTGAAACAGCAACTTGGCTCAATATAAAAGTCAGGTTACACAGTGCAAAGCAGGCAATGCAGCCACAAAATTGATGTTAATGGCACTGTTCTAAAGTCACAAATAAGCACATTACTTCAGATTAGCATGCTCAACTAGTCCCATTCAGTGCACTGCACATCTTCAGTAAATGTGTTCATCCTTTACTGTAAGTGTGCTTTGAAAATACAAATGGAATCATTAAAAGTTAATAGCTCATCAAGACATGGATGCCTTCCTGAACAAGTCAAATTTAGATTTTTTTTCCTTCAAAGTAAATTAACAGTGCAAGATATAAAGTGAAAGATAGCTGGGCCTTACTTTGTTTTTATATGTAGAACTGTAGGCAACATCTTTAAAGTATCACAACTCATCATCTGCTTTAGTGCAGTGACTTTTTTTCAGCACCAAAATAACTGATAACCTGAAAGGGCATTTTTGTGAACTGTGTTTGAAGGCAGTTGTTTGGGGTCACTTTGATCGATGACAAGTAGAGAATGACCAGAAACTGCTTGCATGTCCTTCCCTGACTTATGCCTGATCACCCCAACCCTTTTTGCCTTCATCTGGCAGAGGTATGCGAAGCAAATAGCAGAGAGGAGTATGAGAAGAGCAGGAACCAGACCTGGCATGTGATAGATGGCAGCAAAAAACCCAAAGTTTTTACATTAATGATTATCGAATATATTTATTTACAGCATTTTAATAAAATATGCTGTTTGCTTTAGTACTATTCCTTTTATTCATAGTTTTGTTAAGTACCTGTTAAGACTGTCACATCTTACAAGTTAGCTAAAATGAGAGCTCTATTTTATGTAGCTACATTTTGCTTTATCAACTGTTTAAGCTCAAAGTGATCAAGACTAGTGCTCAGTCACTTTGTATACTATTTGAAATGTAGTCATAACCAATTAATGAATAGAAGCAAATTTGTAAGACATAGTGGTATGTACGTTAAATATAAACACACAAACAGTTTTTAAGTATTCATTCATTGGTCATATGTATTACTGTTAAAATAGATGGCCAGTGACTTGTTCTTCTTTTAAAATTAATTAAAATAGATAACTAGTAGGAAATTGTTAAACATCTGAATTGACAATTCAAATAAATAAGTAGAGTAAGCAGAAAAGAAAGTGAAGTGTAGGAGTTATAAAAGTAAAAGAAAACATATGCAATACCTACAGTGAACACGTACATGTAATATATCTTACAGGTAACATACTAATAATCTTACATTTTTATGAATGAGTTTTGAACAGTGAAATATATTCAGGAATGCAACCCAAACTGGCTATTCCTATAAATTTAAGTCCAGTTAATTAAACCTGATATACTGCAGTGACCCATTATTTGCCAGACTGGAATGCAGCCTAGTGTAATGTTCAGTGGCCTACTTAAGGCATGCGTAGCGTGCTTGTAAACCCTTTAATAGCTACAGAGCTTCTGTTGAATGGTGCAGGTGCTTCAAACCATGAAAAGGTTAAACACTCCCTTTGTAGAAAGATGTATTATAATCACTGCGAAAACCTGCATTAACAAAAAGTTAAGCTGTACAGTATCAAGAAAGTTTTTGCCAAGAGAAAAATATTTAATAATATTATGATGTTCTTTTATTATAAATGTCCATCTGAATGGGTTTTTGAACATCATCCTTATATTAAGGAGGATAACATTTCATCTTTAAGCTAGAATGCAACCTATCAAAAGATGCAGCAGCGATATTTAGGCTTCAATGTGAAAATGTAAAGCAGGATAAAGTATACACTTTGCAAAAAAAAATTAAAACATTTCTACACCATACATTTTTGCATCTGAATTATGGCTGCAACTCGTTCTCCGTTGCACACATTTCAGTAATTTTTTTATGTATTATGTTCACGCATATTTATTTAGTTTTCCAAATCAAAGTTTACATTGCATTAAAGTTCATCTTGATGTTAAAAATTCCAATCACTTTCTATTTGCAGTAAGAATTTTCCTGCATTCTATTGCCGGCAAATGTGGACTAATTTCTGAATGCATATTTCGTTCTCCCTTGCGAATGTGTGCTGTTTAATTACCTTTTAATTGTCATTTTTACAATTTCACACAATTTCAAGTGTTTATTACGTGCATGTTCAACTAATAATAAAAAGACAACATAATTGTCTGGCTTGTCAGTAAGATCTCAGTAGAAATATATTTATTTTCTACTTAGCTCACCTAATAATTTTTTAAAAATAATTTTATTTAATTTGCATTATATTGATTTTTACATGCGTTTCCATAACTGCTGTCTGTTGACATGAACCTTCCCATTCAAATGTCAGACGGATAACACTGCCTTAAAGCCAATATATAAGTCCAA